TGATAAACATTTTACTAGTTAACCACTTTTTGATATCTTTCAAAAGAAGTGAGATATATAGGCTCAAAGTGGACGTTCCGGGTGTCGTTCTATTAGAGGTTTTACGGTATTTGTATCGTTTCCAAAGAGAATGGATGCCAATAAACAACAAAAAACTTTAATTGTCAAACGAAGTTCTAGCTTTGTCAAACATTCAGATATCTCTTTTTAACCTAACTGTAAGCTTTTGTCATATCTGTCATATCTTTGTTAGTAACTTATAAAAAAACAATGAATCATTGATATTTCGTTCATATTACAAGAGTAAATATTTACTTCCAGTAAATCCTTTTGTGAATACGGTAAATCCATTTTCCTGTAAATCGATTTACAGGTGTAAATATTTACACAAAATTATCACTGAAAAATCAAGAAGAAAAAGAAAATATCAGTGACGTGAAAGAAAAATCACTGTAAATCTGAAGGAAATGCTTTCTTTTACCAAACTTTCATGAATACCAATCACTCTATTTTCCTCTTTGTAAATCATTTACACGTTCTATTTACGTAAAAGTAAATGTTCATGAATACGGCCCAGGTTTATAAAATTTAATGATTCACAAAATTAGTATAATAAAACAGTAAAATCACATTTGTTCTGTTCATTCTCAAAGTTGAACCAACGTTGCAGAAAGATTTTTGAAAAAAAAAATTCTAATGCCGATTTCAATCGATTTAAATACAAAGAAAAATCTTTAAAATTCTCATCTATAAAGGAATAATGTCTTGAAAAACTGTTTATCATAGATAACAGTGTCATGGAACAGAAATTTAAAAAAAAAAAGAGTTGCCGCCTTAACAACATAGCGCTAGCATGTATAAAGTGCATAATAATGAACTAACTGTGTATCCCCAACCATCCTTATATTTTCATAACTTCAAAGGTGCAGGAACTATAATCAGTGCATTGGTTAGCTCAACAAGTTATTCCAGTTGAACACAAATAGTTAAAATTATTTTATGACACATATGGACTTAGAGCTCAATTATTTCAATTTCGGTGAGCGATATCAAAAAGTTCTCAACTGATAAAATGTTGCTAATAACATGAGCAATACTTTAGCGTTTAACCCATTTTTGATGTATTTTAAAAGAACTGAGATGATTGAACTCAAAGAACAAGTAAACTAAAGAGCATTTACGGTAAATAGGCATTCAGTTTTATTTTTGTACAATTACGTTTCTTGGGCACCAATTGTGCCCATATTTTTTTTGTGTTGATAAAAGCTGATAGTGTAACAGGTTTATATTGAAATTTTCACAGATTAAACTTAGATGGCCAATCCAACACAAGCATACGCCACCGCACAAATTGCTGTTCCACCATTGCAGGAAAATTGACACCTAAAAGTTTCGATTTCAATTCATTGTAGTTATTCCAGTTTTGTGCTTTCCACTTACATCACATTAGTCACCTTCCCATCCCACGCTTCCTTGTTCTGTTTTAAATTCAATTGGAGACAAGCATTATAATAGTCCTGCCCTGGGTAGGGTCTTGTGAAGTTTGGCGATCCAGGAGTGAACACGTAAGCGTCAAAGTTGTCCTGGTACGGAAAGTTCTCGAATGCTTGGATACCAGTGCAATTGGAGGGACGGTTGTCCGGATAGCAGTAGGTTCTCATGGTTCCACCGAGCCATACTGTGGTGTAGTCTCTGGTGGGGACGGATCCAATTAAAGCCCGGGCACTTTCTGGAATAATTGTCTTTTTCAGAGGTACGGCATGTATTTTGACATGACAGTATTCTGTGAAGCGCTTCGGACATGACAAGGCGCTTTCATGAATCATTTTCTGTTTCACCTTCTGCTTTAGTAACATTGGGTTCTAAATCACAACATTCCATTTGAAAGCAGTCTGACAGGAGTCGGGAGATCAAAATTTTTTAAATTACTTTGTTTACACCTTTCATTTTCTACCGTACACCTGTCAAACATTCCATCGGTTGGTGGCGGTGAACAGTCTCTGAAGCCCAAATCCCACCTATTTAGATATTGTCATTGACTAGAACCCCATTTTTTTCGAAACTCGAGATTTTCCATTTAAAACAGAAAAACCCACCCATAATATAACTCCACTCCATTTTGAACTGCATTCCAGACAACTCGTATCCCGCTCCATTTTCCTTACAAAAAGTCCCAGAATCCGTTTGATTGAGTCCGGGCATCTTCGAGACTTTCAGACAAGCTCCTCCTTGAGGACGAATAAACATCTTCCAACTGTCATCTATACACTTTTTGTCGTAGGCTATGGTCCATGCTGGATCGGTGTAGGATAGGGTGTAGCTATCAGAAGTGTCCTGAATTTTTACACCGGCACTTCGCGTCACACGAAATTTATAAAAATTCCTGTTACACTAATAGCTTATTTCACCTGGAAAATATGTTGGATATTTGAATTGGTACTCTCGGTTCCCTTTGGAAATAAAAATGTCATTATGACAACATTTTTATCATAATATCACCGAAATTTTATCATTTTATCAGGTTTTGAGAGCTCTTATGGGAACCAAGATATTCTAGCTAAAAGTACAAGGATAAGGTTACGGTAAGGCGAACGGATTATCGCAAGTTTTATATTTAGGCTTGTGCTCTCGATCCCAAAGCCTCCTTACCGTTTGGGTATACTGTAGATCCTTAAAATCCACAGGGCAGCTCATCAAGCTGTCACTTTGACTCCGATTTGTATACCATCAGAAGCAGTTCTCTGATTGATTGAACTGGTTGTGTAGATATCACAAAGATTGCAATTTTCATCGGATCCATAGGCGAGCTGAAACTTTTGAAAAACTTTACAGTTCTGTTTCAAAATTTCGACTTCAAAGAATTATAGTATCGAATTTCTATTCAAGTTACTTGATAATTTGTGAACAAATTCGGCGGGATCATTTGAACTTCAAAACTTGATCATTTGAAAATGTCCTCGACGGAACTGACGTCTTAAAGCCAATAGCTTCGAAATAATCCCAAACACGTTAGGCGTCGCGGTCGCGCGTCGCGTATTTTGGTCGAAAATCAAAATGGACAGATTTGAGTTGTGTTTGGGCCTATTTTTAAACGCACAACTTCACGAGTCTAGAAATTTGGTTCTCGATTAATTTGGAGTGTTTTCAAGGATTTCATGCAAATCTTAGAGCTTCAAAATTGACATATTAGTTTTCACTATATTATAAATATTCACTTTTTCCACTGACTTTTTTCAAATTGCTTACCATGCAAGTCCCTTTCCCCAAACACAAGTTCAAACAATCCAGGAACGATCCCACTGTTGTATGCAAAGTACAGTAATCCTCTGAACTCGGATACCCCCAAGACAATAACATGTTGACTGCTCCATTCTTCAAAACTATACACCTCATTTCCTTTGAGATATTCTATAACTCACAGAAACTGGGAATAACAAGGCAACGATAAATAGCTCAGAGAACATCATGAAGTAAAATATTGAATATGAAACGGAAAAGCATAAGAACAATGTTTATTGAGGAATAAGATGTTTTTGTCGGAGGTGCCAAGGAGACGTGTCTGACGGGGGGCAGATATGAATAAGGATGAAAGAAAGAATTCGAAAAGATACTCAAGAAAAGAACACAGGATTGGCAATGATTAAGGAAGATATGAAAGTTTAAAAATAATATCGCGAAACAGAAATTTTTCACAGAAAAAAGTAGGTTCTAAATCTCGGTCTCAACGGCCTTCGACCGATTTCTAGACAATTGAAATGGTTTGGAAACAACTGATGTGATGCTTTCAGTAAATCCTTCCAGAGTGAAACGGAAAAACATTTATAAAACCGTTATTAGAACAATCAAGTCAAACAACAGCCGCGAGTTAGCACCGCTAAATGGCTCAAAAATTGAAAACCAAGGGAAACAGAAAGAAAGTTCCAAAAACTGCGAGAAGATCCAAAGCGTTAAAAATCGTCAGGAAATGGAGCTCTTCAAAAATAGTAAACGATGGTTTTGAGAAAAAAAAAACAAAAAAAGTAAAATAGATTAGAGAAACAGAAATAGAAGCAAATTCTAGGTGAAAATTAGAAAAAATTAAGAGGAAAAGCTCGAAAGTTCCAATTAGAAATTTTCATTTTCGCCATGAAAAACCTAAAAGAGAAACAGTAAAATTAATTTAAGCTTTTTCATGTGTTACTTACTGAAAGATCGTTATTTACTAGATGGGAGGACATGAAAAAAATTTCTCGGAATTTCATTGAAACAAAGGCCCCTCGAAGAATTTGTGCTCAGATATCTTTAAACATGTTTCAGGTTGGTGTCATATGAATGGGCATTCTGATTGACAGGACAGTGAACATCTCACACCTGGAATATTTTAAATCAAAATATTGAAATGAGAAAACTTCATCAAATTTGAATAATTAATTTTCGAGAAACTCAAAAAATGCTAGAAAAAAAACATTCACTGTTTCAATAAGTAGTTTTTCTTAAAATGAATCCCACACTGTTCAATAAGCTTTTTCTTTTTCCGACAATATTTTTCGCTATCACATGTGCACTTTCGCGTCGGTGAATTTGCGTACTATTTCTTTGAAAAGTGCCATTTTCGTAAGACTAATTGAGTTTAGCTTGGCTAATTTCCAGATGTCACATTGCCCCAAATGCATCATTCTTAAAAATTGCTGTTTCACTGAATTTCTAATTTTCTGAGAACGTGAGTTTGAAACAATCAATTTTGAAAAGAAAAATGAATTCAGATCGTGTTCTCCGATGAAAAGAAGTGGAATCTCGACGGTCCTGATGGCAACAGGAACTACTGGAGAGATCTCCGAAAAGATCCGCAGCTGTTCTCCAGGCGCAACTTTGGCGGCGGCTCTTTTATGATTTGGGGTTGCTTAGAATAAATGGATTTTGTTGACTGAAGGGAAAATCGGATTCAGACATGTTTACTTTGAAAGAAAGTTGCGAGAAACATCTTCAGAAAAAGCTTAAAACAATGAAAAACGTAAATAAAACAATTTAGAGTAGATAAAATGGTCAAAAAACGACCTGTGCACCCAAAACATCTGGGGGTCCTATAGTTATGCGACGGTCGAAAATGGACCTTCTTCTTGCCGTGAGGGTATGGAAAATGGTAGGGTTCTGAATATTTGGTTCCTAGGGTTATTTTTGATTCTGAATCCAACTGCATTCACAGATTTTTTATATCTACTCTAGTTTTTGCTTTACACCCCAAATTGGGGGGGGTCCTATAGTTATGCGACGCACTGTATATTACCGCAGGTTTTTATGTTTTGGTCAATAATATAGGTGATGTAGTTTTTTTTAATCATTATTCTCGTTTATGAATATTGTAGTCTGGTCTATTCATGATTTGGTATACTGAACTCATAATATTTTTTGCTGGGTTCAAGATCCATCTCGAAAAATATGTACCTCCACGAACTAGTTTTCTGACTTGTTCTTCTGGTTTCAGAGCGAAGAAAATGAATTTTTGAACATTCGCACGAATTGGATTGAGTTTATCGTATTGTACTGGGATTCATTGAAATTGGATTATTGCAAATAATGAAAATAGTTAGCTGAAACAGAAAGCGTTTTTCCCTCAAATTTGCAGCTCTTATGTTTGATCCTTGAATCTTGACAGGGTTCATTGAACAATAAAACCTGCGAAAGTGGAAAAAATAATACACAGTGAAAACATAATTCAAACTCTCTAAATTATGCGAAAAATAATACAAACCTTGAAACAAATTGAAACGGAAATTGAGGGAAAAATTTTTTAAATCGATTTTTCAGTGACTTTCTATACTCTTTGATATTTTATGTAGATTAGTTTGACGATATGCCTAATTTGGTTTTCTCTAATAAAATTCGAAAAAAAAAACTGTTTCACAGTGCAGATGAGAAGTTTTAAACTTTAAAGTCTGGTTAGGTGATTAAGTTTCCATTTTTCTATGTTCGATGGGAAGTTCCTATTTGTGCATTTATAGAAAAAGAAGATTGTTTCAACTTTTCCAGTATTTCGCCTGAAGCAGAGCTTCTGAAACAATTTTTCTTTAATTTCAAAGGCTTTTCCATTTCACTAAATTCAATTAGAAATGAATGTTTGATCTTCGACACCATCTAGTTGAATAAACAACCAAGGTTTCAGGAGCAAATTCCCGGATTTTAATGTCAAACAGAAGTTTTCTGTTGTCCTGTGTCTATTTAATTTTCGAAACTTTTCAGGTATTATTGGGTTCGCCGTCAATCCTCGCATCCCACAAGTTCAACTCCTCGAGGGGAATATTTAAAAGGACTTTCGAGAACATTGTTTTTTCATGTCTCCCCACCTTTAAGGAATTTTAAGTGTGTCTTGCTAAATTCCAGGTATCCATTGTTGTTTGTTATTTTTAACCCGGTGTTGCTTTTAATAAATCGATTTTGTCTCATTATTTGTTGATTTCCTTCTATTTTATTCACAGGAACCTGATTCGGATATGCCGTGGCCAATTTGTTTTCTGTTTCACCGAGTTTATGAAAAGTGTGCAGTAGTGTTTTGCTTCATTCTAGGTTGTGTGCATGAAAATCACAAAAAAAGAAAAGTGTCAGTTTAAAGAAGCTTTCTCGACCCTTTTTCATAACTGATTGCTCTGTCGGTTGGACAGACATCTGGACGTACCGACAAGGAGATAGACATTTGATTCATTTAAAGGTGGGGAGACATGAAAAAAAAATAATGTTCTCGAAATTCCGTTTAAATATGCCCCTCGAGGAGTTGAACTTGTGGGGGCCAGGATTGAGGGTGCGGCGCCGCTACCGACTGAACCACACGGGCAAAGGGAAAGCGGCCGCCCGATGCATACATGGAGGCGAGGACGACATCTATACGTAGAGTGACATTAAGCGTTGTACACCGTGACGTTAGAATGCATACTCTAGCTACAAAAAAACTCCGAAAAATCTCCTGTGCCCCAACCTTTAAAGAAATCCAAAATAAATAAATAGAAATTACAGTTTCAGAAAACCAAGATTGTTTGAATATCAGTCTTCGGAATTTACTTGACATCTGGATAAATGGACACACAGATGCTACACGATCAATCGCCTGGCTGGGAGCACGCAGTTTTAACAAAAATTTCATGTTTAAAGCAAGTTTCATTTTTTATTGCACTTTCAAATCGTTATCAATAGGTTAACTTTTTTGATTTTTTATTCGGTACCCTTTGTTATGGTCTTCTGAAAATCAAACATCTAACCCTTCAAGACACAAAACAATAGTTGTGGTTTAGTCCTCCCATTGTCTACTTCCTTTTTTCAAAAAAAACATTATTGTTTCATCATTATCAGAAAGTCCCAAAAGATTGCTCATACTTCTCATTATCACCCAGTTCTTCTGACTTGCAGACACCCTGCCCTCCTTGTTTTTCTTCTAGAAGCATCTTCCGATTGACTGAGCACATAAAAAATTTCCGGTCACACACTGCATATTTTTTGTGTGATCATTTTTGTCTCCTTATCAGTGATAAGATATCACCATGAAGCTCGCCATCAAAAACGTAATCCAAAATGTGTGTTTCTCATTCGCCTTCATCACTAATTGCCTTTTAATTCTTCTAATTATCACCAAGTCACCCCCTAAATTAGGTACTTATAAGTACCTAATGATATTCTTCTCCACAGTTTCGTTGGGTTATTCGTTTTTGGAATATTTTATGAATCCATTGCTTCTATCGTTCGGAGACTGTTTTCAAGTGATTTCCAAGATTCGATTTACTAGTTATCCATGGATTGATGAGTACTTTTTGGGTAAGTACATATGAGTCTGTTGATAGAATTAAAATAGCGTTATCAAAAGGGAAATCTCTAATAAGCTATTTGGTCACAATGGAACCGAAAAAAAATTAAACCGGAATTAACTTTTGTGAAGGAACAGCTAAATCAAGAGAACACGATTAGAAAAGTGAAACTTCGGAAAAATGACATAGCGTTATGGTTGCTGTAATTGTGAACCTAGACCTTTGTCAGAGTTTACTGTAGATCAGTTAGAGACAATTTATCTAATCTTCTATACAAGCTCTGATAAATGCAGCTGAATTATGAGAAATGCACAGTTTATTGATCTTATCAAAAAAGAAGACAACTTTGGATGTCAGAAAGATAAATGAGATTTTTTTTTGAATAAGCCTGGAAAATTTCAGAGTACAACTAAACAACAATAGAGCTGCAATTTTGTAGTTGACAACTTTTTTGTACAGTTTCACCCAATTGAGATATATCGCTTTACCATGAAATATCACTCATGGAAGCATTTTCGAGCAGTTTATCTCATTCAGATGAATTTTTACAAAAAGTTGTCAACTACAAAATTGTAGCTCTATTTTTGTTTAGTACAGTCTGAAATTTTTAGACGAATCAGAAAATTCCGGACCACTTTTTGTAGGAATTCAAGTTGGACAAATGAGGTTTCCGTGACTCTCACTATTTTTGTATTCTCAAATCTGAAAAATACCGTAACTCTGAAGCTGTATTTTTTTGCCTTGAACTTTAAAAAAATTACAACTTGACCAGCTTCAATTGGAAAAGGTTAAAACTAATGAACTTTTAGCGGCTACTGTATTTGAAACACTTTGATAGTTAAAAAGAGTTTATTTTCCAAAAACTTAATGAAAAGTTCAAAAATCTAGTATCAGACTTTTTTAATTTTGAAATGTTTGAATAATCATTTACTTGATGACAAACTTGATGAAAGTTCATTTTGAGAAGATTTGAAGAAGGGACTAGATCTATGAGAAAATAACTGAAAGTGAAAATTCTAACTTTTTTCATTTCCTTGATGATACATGAATTTTTCATTGTTAGAGAGACGACAGAAGGTGTGCATTTTGGCCAATTTCGTGACTACCGTATCTCTATTTTTTTCTCTGATTCACATCTAATGTTAATTTAGCTCATTTAAATCAGCATTCAATTACGCAATTCATAATGGATCTAACAAAATTAATGAATGTTTTCCGTCCCCGATGAAACATACAATTTTCAATTCACACTGATTTTCAAAGTTTGAAAAGACAAAATGTTCTAAAGTTAAAGATGAAATTCAAAAACCCTCGATTTGAGACTGTGGCTGTGGCTTCTGCGGTATCATCATGTCCATGTTCGTTGTTCACTTCGTTTTTCGTTTCTTTGCTCTTCAAAGACGCGGGAATTTGAAATATTTCGAGGACTGGTACTTCCTTTGTTGGTTTGCCATTCCAATTTGCCTTGGTATTCTGTGGGCAGCAGCAGTTCAGACGTTTCTACATGGGGATCCTGAAAGTTCCGGGTATATGAGGTAAGATGCGGTTTATATCGGTTGCTGTGAAAGATATCAAAAGGTGATCAACTGATAAAATATTTTCAATAATATGATAAACGTTTTGATTGTTTACCACTTTTTGATATCTTTTAGAGGATTAGAGATAAATTGAGTCAAAGTCAGTGGTCAGAAACTTTAGACTGCCTGCTTTGAAGATCACCACAAAACATGGCATATTGAAGATTTTCAAATTATTAGGTTATACAAAATTGCTAAAACATTCAATTTTCCAAAAAAAAAATTGAATTTCAACATTTTCAAATGTTTTGAAAATCTTGACACCGATCCAATGTACCAATTAAGAAATGCGAATAGAATGCTGATACAATAATTTTGAAGCAGAAATTTTTCAAAATTTAAATTTATATTTTTTTGAACTTTTTCTGTGAGTATGACAGTGAATTGCTAGTACAATTCCTTTTTTTTGGAAAATTGAAAATTCAGACAGTTTTATTTTTTATCCGAGTGGAAATTGAATTTCGAAAATCTAGATAAAGAGACCCTTCAAGAAGTGAAAAAGTTTTGTAAATTTGAATTTTCTGGAATTCGAGAAACATGAATTTTTCATTATTTGTTACAACGAAAATTTCTTTAAAGGATTTCTGAATCAATTTTTTCTTCAGAGAAACCCTCCTCGAAAACTACAACTTGAGCATTTCGGACATTGTCTATGTCGGGGTACTGTACCATAAGAAATTAGCGAATGAAACTACTATCATGAATTTGAAAGGGATCCAAGGAGTATGTATTCTGGGAGCTATCATGGTGGGTTAAAAATTCTAGAAATTGAAAATTTTCTATTTTCAGAACATCTGTTTTATTTTGATTATCTATTTCGGAGCATTGACCTATCAACGTATAAAGCAGTTAATAATGGAGGGGAGGTCAGAGTATACAAGGAAGCTGCAAAAGCAATTGTATCAGGCATTAGTTATTCAAGTAAGGGTTACTGTAGCTTAGTTATTTCGGTTCCCATAAAAGATATCGAAAATCTGTTAATTGATAACATGTTTAGGACATTATGACAAACAATTTATTAGTTGACAACTTTTCAGTATCTCTTACAGAAAATGAGATAATTGAGAATCCTTAAATTCCAGACAATCATCCCTGTATTCTTCATGATCCTCCCATTAACCATCTACTTCTTTTCCCCACTTTTCCATCTTGGACATCCAATAATTGGGGATTTGGCAACATTTAGTTGTGCAATGTACCCAGTTCTTGACCCACTTCCTGTCATGTTTGTCATTGATAATTATCGACTGGCTATATTGGGTAATTAACTTAATTAGCCTAATTAATCAACCGTGATTTTTTCAGAAGGCGTCGGATGCATCAAACGCCAGGGAGAAGTCAATGTGAATGTGACAAGCACGAGTGCTATTTAAGAACATTGATTCTCTTATTTATTTGAGTCAATGCACATTAAATGAAATATTGTTTAAAAATTGTGTTTCAGTACTTTTGTTTCAGCTATTCACCCGAAAAATAAAGTATTAAATCCAACGAATTCCTACAAAACATATCAGATTCTGTTATATAAGACTGAAAATTTCAGAATTTACTAAACAAAAAAAGAGCTTCAAATTTGTAATTGACAACTTTTTTGTAAAGTGTCGTCTAAATGAGATAAAGAGCTTTAAGGTGCCTGATGTGATTACTGGACGCTTCGACACGTGATTGAATTCAAGCAGCATATCTCATTTGGATGAATTTGTACAAAAAAGTTGTCAACTACCAAATTGAAGCTATATTTTTTTTTAGTTGTACTCTGAAATTTTCCAGGCTTATTCAAAAAAAATCTCATTTATCTTTCTGACATCCAAAGTTGTCTTCTTTTTTGATAAGATCAATAAACTGTGCATTTCTCATAATTCAGCCGCATTTATCAGAGCTTGTATAGAAGATTAGATAAATTGTCTCTAACTGATCTACAGTAACCGCCCATTTTGTGGGCAATTCGCCCACTTTCAACGCGTTTTTGCAGGTTCGGCCTAGCATTGCACCTGCACTCCTTATTCCAATTATACTATTTCAATTAGAAATGCTAAAATACTTATCTCATAATCGTTTATTAATTAAAAAATGTTGTTTTACAATAAAAATACACAAAATACACAGAAAATGACAAAAAAAATCGAAGAATATTTTATTTTCGCCTCCTGGCTGGGCCTCAATCCATCCCTGTTGAAGCCTGATCCATTGAATTCCGCTTTCTTGCTCCTATTTTGAAAAGGCGCGCGATGTGATCCATGGCTGGCAGTGTCCCTCATCTCGACTTGCCCCAAAGAAACTGACGCTGACTCTGTCCAAATACTGGCTTCGTAGCGATCTGTAATGAAAAAGGGAGTTAGTTGTGGGAGTAACGTAAATTTCCAACAATCTCAATAGTTTCTAATAGCGGAACTTGAATGGAAATGACATATTGTCGGAATAAAAAAAGTGAGACTCGGTGTTTGCGTACTTTGATTTCCGCTTCCCCCCGCCGACGCTCCGCCCACTGCTTTTGCAAGTGCGGCGTGGTGTTTTGAAATTGTGCGGCGCCACTTCGAGTTTATTGTAATTAATGAGGTTTTAACGAGATTTTCATAGAAAAATTGCAATTTATGTCACAATTTTTTAGAGAAAATGATTTTTTTTACTTCTTGTTGTCTCAAAACCCAATAATTTATTACAGGTAAACGATTACTATAAAATTCACTGGAAAAATGAAAAAAAAAACCGGAAAAGGCTAACAATAATACTAATTTGCATTATTCTAAAAAGTCATAGTCTTCAGTATCACTGAAAACGTTGAAGTCGTCATCAGAGCTAACGGAGCAATCTGTTGGGCAAATGGTTTCGATTTCCTCGTCCACCATCGCGTCTTCGTCATCACTATCGATTCGGATGTTGTAGAGATTGCCAGCTTCATCGACGTCGTAGTTCAAGTCGAACACCTCGTCGTAATCCGTCATATCTTTTTCTTCCATCATCTCTCGAAGGTCTGTCTCCAATTTTTGAGTGTGAAGAAACAGTTTGTCGGCCGAAGTTGCTGGAAAAGACTCGAGGAACGCCTTGGCACGGCTTCTCACTTAAATGGAAAACAATTTCTGGAAAAAAATATCTAAAAATTACTAGTTCTACTGAATCTTCCGGTTTGCCAATCTTTCTGAGGTGCTGTTTCAATTGCGCCCACAGTAATTCCACTGGATTAAAAAAACAGTGATATTGTGGGAGTCTTAAAACAGTAACCCCATGAGACTTGGCATACTCGTCGAATTTGTAGACCGTGAATGCCTCGCGACCCCCGTTGGATTCAATGAAGATTCGAGCCAAATCGTAGAGGATCTCCTTCGTCTGCTTTGGGAAGAACTTTACACCATGCTCCGTGAGAAAAGATGTGATGTCAGCTCGGGAAGAAGTGCTCGTCGGAGGCTTGCGGAGTGGAGCATTGTGATACAGAGCATTATCACACAACAACACTGCGGGTCTTCCAAGTTTTGCAGCTTCAGCCGCAAAAAGCGGGATCATCTTCCGGTAGTAGATCTCAAAGTGATTACCATCCATATCGGCATGATAATCTTGCTTCTGATCTTCTTCTCTCAAATGAAACAAGAAGAAGCTCGGATCATTTGAGAACTCCTAGCTGTGTGATGACAGCAGCGATGATGACCCTCTTTCCTCTCTCTCTTCCCTTACTCGGACCTGGCTGGGATGATAGAAGATCCATCAACTTCGACTTTTTGTACATCCCCTGATTTGCATGCATCCAGGCAAGACGCCTCCCCATGCCGTTGTGTGCCCACGTTTCATCGAAGATCCATATAGAGCGTTTTTGGAATGCCACTCTTTCTTCAACTGGAGATACAGCATTCTTTTGTGTACAATATCTGGTCGCTCTGACACGATTGGGTTGAATTCCTTTTGGCGATACACAAATCCAAGTCCACGAAGTACACACAAAAACACTGATCTCTCTCTCTGAAATTTGAGCTCATCCTTCGCAAATGTCCATAGATCGGATACTGTAACATCGCGACCTTCTTTCCAAAGAGAGTGGATTTTTGCTACAATTCGAACTCTTTTGACGATATCCAATTGAGAAGCATATCTCCTGCACCGTTCTTTTTTCCCCATTGTAACAAGAAGCTTCTTTTGCGGTAGGTCTCGTTCGGGAGTCAAGCGGATTACTGTATTTCTGCTCAGACCACACATTTCAGCTGTTGCCTTTGCAGTGTTGGAGAACATTGTAAAACGACAGTCACTGCCCAATTTTTCTTGAATTATGCCGACAGACGATGACACATTTCTCATGATTTCTTCTCCAGAGTTCCTAGTGTGTTTTTGTGTGGGGGTTTTTGGAAAGATGGAAGTGTCTATGTCACATAACGATTGTCCGATTCTCATGGGCCTCAATTCAGTCTGAAACATGCACCCTACTGCTTACTATTCTAGGTTGATAAGATCTTTATACCTCAGTCAGATACTTGAATCTGTTGGCGGGAGGTAAAACACACTGAGAAGAGGTTGTCTTGTTACGGATAATTGTACTACTCTGGGTGCTTGCATTGCTGGTTGAGGTAGGATCAGTCGCTGTGTTTTTCAGATGACAGAAGCCAGGAATGTCCGAAGGTTTAGCTTGAAGACTGATGTCACGAGTGGTCGGAAGTGCTTGTACTTTCTTATCGTGGCTAATTGGAGTTAATTGGGCTCTAACACTCCGAGTCCACAACTGTCGTTGAGCAACATCTTCTGAAAATCTTGTATTCCTTTCAACATAGCTTCTTAATCATTTTCTCCCCCTTTCTACCCACATTTTTCACAGATATAACTACCTCTTTTTAAGATTGTTTCCTTTGAAATGCCACGGTTGTAGCTCATTGTTGCTTTTTTCAATGTTTTCTCTATAAATTATGAGATAAATTGTTTTTTTTAAATGAAAACCTCATTAATTACAATAAACCCGAAGTGGCGCCGCACAATTGCAAAACACCACGCCGCACTTGCAAAAGCAGTGGGCGGAGCGTCGGCGGGGGGAAGCGGAAATCAAAGTACGCAAACACCGAGTCTCACTTTTTTTATTCCGACAATAATTATCAGAATTTTTTTAGAGTAACGACTGTCGCAAATTTTATTGGTGTCAAAAGTTATAAACTTCTCCGAGTATGTCATTTTTATAATACTGAAGTCCAGAAAGATAGTTTTTTAAAAGTTTTATCTTACTTGAGATCGATTTGAATCACCGTTTTCGCTATTTTCGCGTGCGGTTTGGGGAAGAGCAGCAGGGGGCGCCCGACTGGAAAGCCATTATTTTTTGGAATCTGTGAAAATATAGGTTTAAATATACGAAAACTGTCGAAAAATAACCAAGAAAGGGCTTGGGAAAAGTTTTTAATCGGCTAATAATTGAATTATATACGCATAAATGTTACATTTTGAACAGAAATCGACACAGAAATCAAGAAAACAACAAGAAAACGTTTAAAAAAGTAGAAAATATCGTTGAAAATAGAGCTGCTAAACAAGGCGCACCCCCGTAATTTCGGAGTGTCGTTGGCGGTGAAATGCGAGGGAAATTCGAATCGGTTTCCTTCAAGAATACTGTCTTCTCCGTTATGTATAAACTTGATAGATTCAATGAAAATTCGAAAACTTTTAAATTTTAAACAGTTTTTCTTTCAAAAAAAAATTCAATATCAGTTCAAACTATTCTGTTATTATGTGCTACACATCCTGTTTCGTTTCTTTCTCAAGCAGTCTCAACATCAAAAATACAGTAGCCCTCAAGGAAAAATCGTAATCAAATGTCAGCTTTTCGATATTAACAGCTTTGAGTTTATGAAAAAATATTTCATCTTTGATCAAAAATTTTTTGATTGAAGACTCAGACTGTCCGGTGGTGCCTGTGTCATTAGGTCGTTTTCAAACAACGGACTTGCATATTCCAACTTTCATGAAAAGTAAAAATTGTTCCAGAAAAGTAAAACCTGTAAGGAAATCCCGTCCCTATCCTCTCATTTTGAGACAATTTATTTCCATTACTGTAAGAGGTCGCAATCATTTTTTACCGACGAAGTCCATTTCATATTATGATGAACGTTTTGTCAGTAGTCCGCCTATTGAAATCATTTAGAGAAAACGAGCAAAATTGGTTAAAAGAAGCCAGTTAGATGCTCTTCTATTACAGGGTTTACAGAAGTTTGTATCTTGATTTTATCCTGTCAGTTTCAAGTGGGTGGGCAAGGCTTGGGCGAGGGCTCGCCCAACCCTCGCCCACTTTCTCTTGATCTTTTTTCGCGCAGCTCATCTTCAACACTTACGCCCATCCCATGCCATTCCCTTGCCTACCGGGGCAATTTGTCCAAATCAGTGGGCGTGAGCGCCCAACCCTTGCCCAAAATTCCCTGAGTAGGAATCCAAAAATGACCATTTTTTATTTGTCCACGGCGACCTACTCACAGCTCGGGCCGCCGGTCGCGGCTCTGTTTCCAACTGCCTTGGATAGTACTGTACAAGAGTAACCGAAACATACAATTACTTTCATCTCTTTGTGTTCAACTCCTAAAGAAGCAAGAAGAGCGATACAGCATGCCTTGAATACCCACCTCACACCTACTATCGGCATACCATGACCAAATTGTTGGGTTGTTAGAAGAAGGTGTTAATCGCCGTAAACCAATACGGGAGTATCCTTTTGAAGATATTCTTATAAAAGTCAGGTTACTGTGAAGTCCAGTTTTGAAGGAGCCGCTGATGAGCTACGCGGTGGCAAGTTACATACGTAAAGGTGTAAACTGAACACTGACCCGTCAAAATGTAATGATTTTAAAAAGCGGAAATTTTGAAGAAAACAAAATTGCGAAAGTTCTGTTCCAAAATTTCATTTTTTCATCTACATAGGTTTTGTGAAACCGCTGATTTCTTATTATGCTTCCGAGCCGAAGTATATTTCTGCACTTTTTCATTTGTCTTCATAAATTGATCAAAAACGTTTTTTTTTCATAAAGCACAGTTTCAAAGTTGTGCCAAAGTCCTATTTGTTCATTGTTCATTAGTAGTTTCAGAATTTCGAAGCTATTTTACGTCTTTTCAATTTTTTAGACAAACTGTGAAAGTCTCCCCTTACTGTCATGAAACTACAAAACAACGGCATAAGTGAAGTGAACAGGAACGTTTTTGGGGTATTTTTTCTACTCCAAAATATGCATTTTAAGTGTCGGTGTCTACCGTACCCCTATCATATACGTCATGACTACAACGGCGTAGCTCAGTCGGTGGTGTCACAAATTTAACCTCTCCAGGGGCATCTTTTAAAAAAGTTCAATTGAAAATACTTTTTTCGTTTCCTCCGCCATTATACTATTCTAAATCCTTTAATTTTAATCCCCTCCTTTCTTTTTTGTTTTTTATCAGTTTCGAAAAGTTTTCAAATAAAATAGGGCTTCCTAAATCTCATTTCCGCCTAGTTCGTATTTTTCTGCACTATGTTTTGTTTATAACATTTCGAACCAAAATATCCTTGTTTTTGGATATTTTTTTTTTGTTTTCCTGTCTGTAACTTTTGGCGCCAAAGTCAGAAAACATACAAATTTGAATTTTTTGTAGAATGAAGTTTCGAAATTTCTGATAAGATTTTGTTTTATATAGAGTCTGGCATTTTCATGCTCAAATATTATTTTTAACGGAATATAAAAACTGCAAACCTTTTTTTCAGAAAAATAATGTTTTCCAAATCAAAAATGCTTCAATTCAGAAAATTCATATTTCCCCATTTATCAATTTTTTCAAAAAGTTAAATGAATATTTCTGAAAATTTAGAAATCGAAATTTTTAAAAAATTGGAAAAGAGGGGGAAATTCACAATCAATTTCCAATCATTTTCCAAGAAACACTTTTTTCAGGCGGACTTTGAACCCAGAAAATCATTTTAATTAATCCTAAATAAGTTTTTTTTTGGAAAATGTATATATGTTTTCGAAAATTCGAAACTTCCAGTTTTATGTTTTTAATGGAAACTTACTTAATTTACAAAAACGGAAATCTTTTGATGATAATTCTTATGACGAAACACTTGCAATCCCCTTGTGTGAAAAATTCATGAAGTTGTACTTTTAGAAATCAATTGCTCACTACTCACTTGTGACGTCTTTCAAGTTCCCAAATTAGAAATCTTATAAACTTTTGAAATAACCTCTAGGTGAGCAAACGTTCTGTGCACCTCCTGCCAATATTCCCACCAATCCCATCAGCTACTCATCATAATATTTACAGCCACTATTAGAGACTCATTATTAATAAAATTTATGACCCCTCTGCCAGAGTATTCTGTTACTCAATTAGTAGTTCAAAAGAAACAGAATCGAGATGAGCACAGCAGATGTTTTACAACTCCTCCCTCTTCTCTCTCTCTCTCTCTCTCTCTCTCTCTCTCTCTCTCTCTCTCTCTCTCTCTCTCTCTCTCTCTCTCTCTCTCTCTCTCTCTCTCTCTCTCTCTCTCTCTCTCTCTCTCTCTCTCTCCCTCTCTCCAGAGACCCAGACACACCTGTTAAGAGTACAAAAGAGGGGCTGGAATGTGATGTCTCTAATGTTTATACAACCTCCTACCAATTTGAACCGTCATTTGCACTCTTCTAACCTTTTTTGATGTTTTCCGCAATTTCAAAAAGTATTCCTATTTCGAATTGAAGGTTTTGAAACTTTGGATTATTACCAAATATGGTAGATTCAGTTGAATAACAGGGAAAACTTCAGAGTCTATTGAACACCAATAGAGCTTCAGTTTTGTAGTTGACAACTTTGTCGTAATGTTTTAGCCAAATGAGATATACTGCTCACAAAAATGTCATGGATTGGAACCAACTGCTTTTAGTGATATTTCATGAAAAAGCGGAATATCTCATCTGAATGAAACTGCACAAAAAGTTGTCATCTTCAAAATTGAAGTTCTAGTTTTGATTAGTCTACTCTAAGATTTTCAGGCTCATTTAAAAAAATCTAATAGGTTTTGTAGATATTCAAAGTTCACAATTTTCATTGTCAAAAAGGTTGGCTTCCACGAATTTCCTCGGTTTCCAGATGCTTCCATTATCCATCTCCACATCTCCGGATCCTGCTTCTCAATTTCCAACCGTCCCAGATCTCCCAACTTTGACTCCAACACCATCACCGACTTCAGGTTAGTACATTTTAGAAACTTTTTAACAATTTAAATATCGGAATTTCTAACGTCCAGCGAAATTCCGAGAGGGTAGCTCAGCGGCGCTTCAATTCTTAAGAAAACTTATATTTTTAGTCAAAAACATATACATACTACCGGAGCTCAGACTTCAATGGAACTGATTTTTTTTTTCAGAAATGACTTGATCTGAAAAGGCTTTGAACAGTTTTACTCTGTTACTGTATTACAGTAGGCGTATTTCGTGTATTACGGTATTACTGTACTCTTTTATGGTTCAGATGAAATAGCTGTTTGATAAAAATTAGTTGAAATCCATCAAACGGATGAAAAATGTGAGAAACAGGAAAGTTTTATTTGAATTCTTGTTGGAGTGATTAACAAAATTCCTTTTGTAGTTTGATTACGGTATCTTCAACTTTTGATCAAGTCATTTCAAAACCTATCACTATTTGGACTAAACACACCCAGTGAAACTGCAAAATATTAAATTGGGCAATTAGCTCCAATTCTTTTTTCAGTAATAAATAGTCAACTTTGATGCCCTACAAAAGTAATTCAGAGTTTTCCAACCTATCTGAAATTTTCAGAGTATACTAAACAAAACAAGAGCTTCATTTTTGAAAATAAACAATTTTAAAGTGCAAATCCAACTAAGTTAGATAAATTTTTTAAAGTTGCTCAACTATCATTTTAAGGCTATTTTCAGCACTTTCGGATTCAAACGCCATATCTCATCGGAACTGAATTTTGCAAAAAAAAATTGGCAATTACAATACTGAAGCTCAAGTTTTATTTAGTACACTTTGAAAATTTCAGACAAATCGAGAAATTCTATGCAACTTTTTTAGGACTCCAAAGCGGACTACTTGAAAAAGTCAAAATGTGGTATATTTTTATCCGGTATTGAAATACAAAATCTACAGTAATCCAATATTTTCATTGATCCAGAATTGAAATCACAAGACGATCAAATCTCTTGTTCTTTTATTTCCAAATCACACCAAATAAACCCGCAAATTTAATGTTTTTGCCTCTCCGGAAAATTAGCCAAATTAGAATCTACAGTAATCCCTATCCCAAATCCCATGGCATTTCCGAAAAAATCACCCGTTATTGCATTTCTAATTCCCTTATTTTTCCCATCATCATCCTACGCAATATTTCCTCTTTTTTCCTTTGTTTCCCATATTTCGAAGAGGGAAAAAAAACCAACAAAAAAAACAATTTGCAGGTGTCACACCTATGTTTTTCGCTTTCGCACTTTTTGTGACATTTGCCTTTTTATGTCTTTTTTTATTTTGCTGATTTATTCTCTCATCATTGTATTCTTTTTCAGAAAAAAGTTACGGTAAGGTGTGAAGTGGGCTGGCTGGCCTAGGTGAGAAGATGAATAGGGTGATAGGAGGTTTATTGAGACTGGGTGATAAACCCTTTTTTTTTTGCTCTAGGGGTCTCTATGAGATTAAATTTCTTGTTTTTTTTAATCTTTCTCTACATTTACGCTGTTAATTAAAAAATATACTTGTTTCTTAACATATGGATATCATGAAAGAGAAAAATTTGAATTCAAGATTTGAAAAATTCTCTGTTCCATTGGTTCAAGAAATTCGAGGCAATTTTTTGATGCTGCTGCTTCGTACCCAGGCTATTCTTCCAAGACTGGATTTTAAATTATTGTTTCCCTTTAGCGGCCGAAGTAATGAAAACTGAAATCTTCGGAACAAAAGAACACTTCTGGAAACCGTGAAACTTTTTTTCTGGAATATTTTTGGATCTACCTTCGGATCATTTTTGTGACTGTATCAAGAAAAATACAAAATTTCTACCGAAAAAAACTACATTCAATTCTTAGTGTTAGCAATCACCATCAGTCTACTGTTACATGTAAAAGTGATAATATGCTCTTTCCATTTTTCGCCTAATTTTTCGACATGATATAACTTTGTTTGTTGAAAGTAGAATAGATTCTAAAAATCCTCAAATTTTCACCATAGAAGTGACCTAAAACCGTTAATTGTGAAAGTGATTTCTAGGTGTCCGTTTTTGAAAAAAAAATACAATGTTTTTTATTTTTATCCAATATGAAAGCATCAAAGCATCAGAAAAAATATGTGTCGTACGAACAATAAATTCGAAACAGTTGGTTTTTTTTTCAATGGAATCAAAAAATAATGTTTCAAGTATGCTATGCTATTCGTTTACCATCATCTAGATTTTGTAATTTGGTTAAAATTTTCCAGAAAAAAACAACGTTTTCCGTTTCAATCGCTTTTTGTCAATATTGATTTGTGACCTATTTTTGTGACCTGTGCTATATTGTGTTCTCAATTAATTCAATTTCTGTAAGAGATTTCAGAAACTTACAAACTACCAAACTGTTGGTGATATTACAGTAACAATCATTTTCTCACTTGACACATTATTAATATCTCTTATAGGAACCGAGATAATTGAGCTCGAAGAGTATTTCTAACTAGTTTTTTTCTCATGGAATCAAAATTCCCACGCTTTCACTTTGCAACTATAGAAACAAAACGCTTATCACCTCTAATGTCCTCTTGTTGTTTAAATTACCTACCCTTGTGAACAATAGATGACCGGGTCACGACCCGGTCATCTGAGGGTAATGTGAAGAAGTAGAATAGGGATCCATAGTCTGAGGTGTAGATTACCATTTCACACTGTTCTAGAATATTTTTTACTTTTATTGATTTTGTTGAATTCCTAGAACATCTCTAAGTTTGAAGTTCTCGATTTTTTATTTCAAAAGCCTTTGCAGTTTGAAGCTCCTACAGTTGGCCGCGCCATTGCCCGCTGAGCTACGCTGTCTATATGCTGTCCCTTCCAACCGTATTTCTTGCCTAAATCTTTGTACTTTCCAGGCACTGCCAAAATGAACGAGTTCACAATTTCCAATTTGTGTCCAGAGGCTTCTGATAGACTCTCATTAGGTATGGTAACTGGTTAATTGGCACCAATTATTCCAAATTTTCAGAAGTTTCCCCCAGCAGCACTGGATTATTGGAGCCAAAATCATCTACCGTTTCACCAGGTAGGTTTTGTAACCTCTGATCTCATCCATCACTTTTTCCATTTAGTTGTCATAAAGTTCTAGAGAATTCTGATTTTCAGCTCCCAGCTGTACGGGATATCCAATTTTTGATCTCACCGGGATCTCGAAGCAAAGTTCATCAGGTATATTAATTTGTCAATTAGCACTAATTAATTAAAATTTTTCAGGAGTTTCCTCCACCAGAACCAGTTCATTGGAGCCAAAATCTTCTGCAGTTTCACCAGGTATGTTTAGGGAAATGAGGTTTTTTTCAAATTAATTTATTTCATACGGTGTATCTCATTTATTTGAATTCTTACAAAAAAAAATTGTCAATTACAAAAATGAGGCTCTATTTTTGTTCAGTATACTCTGAAATTTTCCGAAAAATTAGAAACATTTTTACTACTTTTGTACCAGGCTTGTTCGGAAAAACAAATTCGGAAAATCGTGTTCTCGAATTTTTTCTCGACTTTTTTTTCCGGAAAATCGAGTTCACGAATTTTTTCTCGACTTTTTTTTTCGGAAAATCGAGTTCACGAATTTTTTCTCGACTTTTTTTTTTCGAAAAATCGAGTTCTCGAATTTTTTCTCGACTTTTTTTTCCGGAAAATCGAGTTCACGAATTTTCTCGAATTTCAATTAGTCAAAAATTACCAGTTTATTTTAGTTGCAAATATTTTAGTTGCAAATATAGTTTAGTTGCAAATATTACACTTTTTCCTTCCATCCGCCAGATTTGTCAATACCGCTGAGTATTTTCCCATGTTCAGTCTGAAAATTTCGTTAAATTCAGACAAAGTTACTCACTGCAAAACCAACAATTTTAAGAAAAACTTTTGATGACCTAAAGTGAGAGAAGGTAAAAATCCCTGAAAAATAAAAGAAGTCTATTAAGAAGAGTATAAACCGAAAAAAATGTTGAAAAAGTAATGAAAACCCTGATTAAAGTATGTTTTCATTCAAAAAAAATTAATTTTTAAAGGGGGACTTCGACCAAAAATTTTTATTGCATTAAAATGTGTTAAAAGTTATCTATTTTCCTAATATTATTGCAAAAAAATTTAAAAGAAATCCGAAATCCTCGAAAAACGCCGTTGAAAATGAAAAAAATTCAAAAAAGGTGCCGCCGAGGGACGAGGATTTGAATTCCCGCGCAGTGAGAAACCTAGGCTACGGCGCCTGAGAGCATTATTTTCAAGTGGCCGACAGTGTTTTTTAACGTTTTTTACCTGTTGGAGATAAAAGCGAGAAAAATCCGGAAAAATTGTCCGGTAAGAAAGTCGCGCCGCTCGCGTGGCCTAGGTTTCTCACTGAAAATCCTCGTCCTTCGGCGGCACATTTTTTTGAATTTTTTTCCTTTTCAACGGCGTTTTTTGGGAATTTCGGATTTTTTTCGAATTTTTTCGCAATAATATTCTGAAAATAGATAAATTTTAACACATTTTGATGCAATAAAAAAATTGACCGGAGTCCCCCTTTAAAAAATTCACCTTAAATCGACCCCGTAAATCGACACCGATTGCGGGTCTCGCC